TGTGGCGTAGGCGTGACATCAGTTTCTCTGTCAAGGGTCGGGTTTACAATGCTGCGGTGCGCTCCATATTACTATATGGATCAGAAACCTGGCCGCTGCGCGCCGAGGACGTCAAAAGACTTTCAGTGTTTGACCATCGATGTCTTCGGAGCATTGCCCGAATCTGGTGGGAACACCGGATCAGCAATTCTGAAGTACGTCGAATGGTATTCGGGAGAAATAACTCACCCTCGATAGATGAATTGATCACACTGCACAGGTTGCGTTGGCTTGGCCACGTGCTGCGTATGCCAGTCGACCGACTTCCTCGAAGGGCTCTTTTCGCCCAACCATGTGAAGGGTGGAAGAGAGCCAGAGGCGGTCAAACAATGACTTGGCAGCGAGGTATGAAGGCCATTACCAGCAAACTCAGCTGCGCTGGTCACTGTCGTCTTCCTGGATGGGGACCCCGAGACGGGCCACATCAATGGCTAGAGACATTATCAGACATGGCCCAGTCGCGCCCTCAGTGGCGCTCGTGCATCCAAGCTATTGCCTTCAATGCATAGCTCCTTTTCCACCCCCACCCCCCCGCTTGACAACTCACTGACAGTGCTGGATTTATGCACCAATTTACCAGCTCGCGCGTGCAATGCGCAGCTACTTACCTCCCAATCATCGGTGAACGAAACTGTGGTAGCTACAACCAGTGTACGACCAGTACTCGGTTATTACAGCTGATAATGATGATGATGATGATCTCGGCATTTTGTCTGACTTTTGTTTTTCGATGGAGCACAGTGGAAAGGGTACTGGACAAAATGTGTCGATCCCAGATCTAGAACAGGTGAAAAACATCGTCGTTCTCTCTGCAAACAACTAAAGTCTGCCACAGGTCCTCAATCAAGTCCATCGGATAGGAGATGAATGTCCGAAAACCAGGGTCTTTTTCCTGTCTGAATCCAATCCTGGACATCTATTTACGGTGAAATAGGTGGCGCCCGAATGTGTGTGAATCCAAAAAAACTCGGACTAACTAACGTTCAGAACAGCCAGACAAAAGACGAAATCACTATATACTTAGGTAATACTCACATCATACAGCATTAATGCAGTCGAGACATGCCCAATAACGCAGGCGGAGGTTTGGAGCCGGCAATTTGCCATCGGCCCTATGACTGTGAAACCTGGCCACTACATGTTTCGGCTGTTCTTAGAGCGGTTTCCAACCAGCGGTGTTGGAGGAGCGAAGAGGTCCGTCGTCGATGCCGTCATGATTCAACTTGAACAGCTAACTTGGCAAGACTGAATTCGATCATTTGTACGTGTTTTACGCCACAAACTAGTATGACATGCTCTAAATTCGAGTCTGGGTTAACGTTGTCGTCAAGGGTGTTAGCTCAACTGACACTGCTTTCCTGAACTTTGAAAACAACCAATGTGCAAGAGCACTGCGCTTCAAGCTATTAAGGAAACCGATCTACCCTAACACAAGAGATAGCCGAAGTCAAATAAGTAAGTAGATGCGAATAATGTGCTCAATTCAATCCAATTTATCAGCTGTAAACCGTGTGCCATAGGCATATTGGTTCCAGCTGCTACAGTTTCCGTCACCGGACGAATAATGTGCTAAAGACTTGAAGACGTCTGCTCAGGTTTTTAATGGACTTTATGGGAGGACTCATGTTGTTCGCCACAGAGATCTGTCGACTTGAGGATTCGGGTGGCTGAAAGAGATACCAAGAATTTTCTGCTGTGGCAATAATAGCTTAGAGTTACTTGAGAATGTAAAGGGCATATGGATACAGTTTCAGTTTATCGGCATCTTACCCCCATCAGCGGTTTTGGATTGAATCCGCGCACGTTTGGTGTAGTGCGGTGTGTCACGACGGATCAACTTCTGGTTCGACTTCTCCTCATTGTCCTCGACATCATCTGTGAATCCAACTCGTCGTGAGATAACACAAATTTCCTCCTATAACCAGCACAAATGGAAGATGAAGACCATAGTTTTTAATCTGGTCAGTTATGACTCACAGGTGCCACTGACTGCGTGAACATGTTGTATCTATCTATCTCCATCATTAACCACTGATGGTTCCAGTCCCGGGGTCCCCGTGGAGGGGAAGCAGTGGTCAAGCCGATTGTGTTTATTGTTCCAGGATTTTGTACTCCGTTAACGAGTCAAATATTGTCCGGTTTTAAACTGTTTCCACTCAATACGGGGCTGGACAAAAAGATCATACTGTTTACTAACGCCAGAAATGACGCAAGTCCACAAATGCAGTCCTAATCTGCGCAACGCACATTTTGAAACTAACGAGGACGTGGTGGAACGAGTGGTGAAAATCAATCTGAAGACCCAACGACCAGGACGACCTTGAAAGGTGGACTCCTGGGGACCAGCTACCATGTAGTGTATCTGAGAGTTCACGGGTAAACATAGAAGTCGGCTGCACTCAAGGATGAACCCAGACCGAAGCTAAAGGCATATATGTATGAAGGGGAGCGAAGCAGAGGAAATGGGAGCAAGCGACGCACAAGTACAAATAAGATAATCGTTCAGCTGTAACACCCTTTCGGAGCGTAGCTGCCATGCCACCAGAAGGAAGCACAAGGGCTGGGATACTGCCAGTTTGCCCAAGCTTAGAGAGGGGGAAGTACAAATTTGAAGCAATCGTCCGAACGATTCATCGGATCTACTTTCGGATGTTCTATACAGGGGTTCAGTGAACATTTAAGGATCCCAGTAATCATCATTTCTGTTAGCCTTCTGAAAATGGTTCCTAATGGATTTCACTCAAATCAGGGATAATGAATTGTTTGACGGTGACCAGAAGATTCAACATAAAGCAAGTACTACTTATATCTGTTGCTGGAGATGAAACATGGTATGAAATCAATGAACATTCATTCGAAATGACGTACACCACCACTGCTATACGCTTCTTCATCCAGATTGTCCTGTACGCTCAGTCTGGCCACTTCATTCGTCTCCAACCTTGAGGGGCGCGATTCTTTTGAAGAATCTCGTAATCTGGGGGACTTCCTCGAGTGATCCACAAGTCCAGGGGAGGCCTCTGATACAACTACATTGGGAGCATTGAAGACCTTATTTCTAGGTCTGAGAAACACAAACAAGCGAATGGTGAAAAACAAAATAAGCGGAGGGTGAACATATTCAATATGCGACAAGACACTGCGAGACACCATACTGACTTTGCATGAGGAGTTGAGTCGACAACAACCTTCGATCCGACGCGGGGAGATTTAGGGGGTGTGGGACCCCGAGCCTCTTCTTCTGAAGACTCCTCCACAGCGGAGTCGCGATAATCCCCATCGAGTCCGGGATGCGGAGAGGATCGGTAGGATCCGTCTGCATTTTTCCAGTAGTCGAAACCGGGGAACCGAGACGTTTGGGGGCCATTGGCCTGACTATGACCATTGATGATGGGCGAGGCCACTTTATGGACCGAATCTGTGGGACTATTCGCGTCACTCATCTGGTGTTCGCCGTACGTAGCAGAATCAATCTGAAAAAAATAAAAAAGGAAATGGTATGCAACTGACATTCGAACTGACACCTCCAGTTTCCATCAACTAGTTGCAGTGCTAGTGAACTAACCCCCAAAAGCGTAGTAGGAGGACTCAGTGGGGGCACCTCCAATCTAACTAGTTTCAGAAGGCATCCCCACTCAATGCACACGATTGGAACTGGCCCGGTTGGGTAGCACATTGGTCATATGGGAATGGTTTATTTTGACTAGCTTTTGGGAAGCTACTGACTCCGAATGATAGCCTGCTGCAGTCACGGAATCGCTAAGAAGCCAAAGACATTTTATTGGTTTTCTTCCAAATTATCTTCCTCAAGAGGCGAACACTTTTGAAAGTGATCGATTTTCTACTGTTTCATTTTTTTCTGATGAAATGTTTTGGGAGCACTCAAGAGCGAACTTCCCTCACTTCAAAAAGCGAACGCTGAGTCTCAGTGCACTTAGTAGTTATTGTCCAGAACAATTCGAAAAAGTGTGTGGAATAATCAATCCAGCTACGAAGGGTATTTCGGCTAATATCGTCATCAGTGAGCAGCATTAAACCAATTTTCATACAGCAAAAAAGCCGAAGACGGGATCAGAGCGATCCTACTGTCATAACTGTCGTCTAAGGAAACAAAAAACTGTTCCTCGCCTCATTCACAGCCTAAAAAGGTGACAAATATACTATTCCCCGTACAAATTCGGGCAGAATCATGCACACCAAACGCAACCACATGCTCTCAGTACTGGTAACGCCTCAAAGCTATGCACCAAGTAGACACTGTGCAGAACTCTCAAGTTTTGGTTTGATGATTGTTATTCATGCACTGGAACTTTGCATTGAAATGCATGGTCAAACTGTACAGTGACTGCGAGGTCGAACTGCTGCAATCAGGAAAGAATAAAGCAAACGCTGACTTAAGTTGAGGAAGAATGGTGTGAAACTAGGCTGTGTTGACGTTTTGAAATGAGGGAGGGTGTGTTTGAGTGCAGCCAGTGCGGATCTGCTATTGGTCATAAAAACACAATTTGTGGAAGGCTCGCTCATATGTTTTCGCCCCTGTACTTCGAGGTTGTCTGGACGTTGACTGAATATACACTTATCCGCCAACTGAACGACTTCACTTCACGCGGGTCAGCGGTCCACCCGAAACAGCAGATACCATGAAGCTTACATGTCTGGTCGTCCCAACTGGAGGCCTGTAAACGACAGATTCTAACACACCCCTAAGAAATGCCAAAATGTCTTCTCGATAGAAACGTAGTGCACATTTCACGCACCAGGGTGGTCCAACTCCAGTAGCACCGAGGAGTAGTTCAGTCAGTTTTGCGTGCACACGTGACGGAATTTCCTGAGTCATCTGCATAACACCAGATACGGTATTCATGACTGGGACAAACTGGCGAATTTCACCACCCCCCAATGACAAAATTTGTTGTGAACATGTGCTTGTTGTGGCACCCATATAAAACAAAACAACAAAAATGTACTCTCCGATGACGAAAGCAATTGCAATGGCAATTTTTGGATGTCCGAGATAAACCCGCGTTATTTCAGTTTCGTCACTGCCACACACGGAAATGTTATTTTAACCACCCGGAACAAAATATTCTTAGTGAGCCGCAGTCAATAATAATAATGTTCTGTAAACGAAATTCAGAGAGAAGGTTAACCCAAACAAGAGAACAAAGACTTCACTCATTTTGAGGGCGATGTCCGCTAAACAAAGATCTATGATTTTTCTGTTGCCCAATTCCAGGAGACACGGAAGAGGAAGTGAAAAGGCAAAAATTACATCATTTAGAGCCCTCCGACTTGCTGTTACTCTTCACTCTGTAAGAGGCCAACACACACAAGTGTAAAGCACGGGTGGCTAGTCTGCTAGTCTGAGGTAAGTATTCTCCAATCAGTCAATTTTTTTCGGTTGTTTAATTTGTTCAAGAGACGAGATGCGGTGAAACGGCAAGGCAACTAGGGCCACTGCATCCAAAGAGATGTTCAAACAAACCAATGCTTCAAGCTTACTACTTGCTCAACGATGATGAAAACAATGATGCGGAATTCGCTCAATCGTTTGACATCATTTTGCTCATTAAGTGCGCCACCCACAATACCGATGCAACGGGAATCAACCGCTCACCACAGTATGTTCTCACAAAAAGAACAATTACAGAAACGGACAGGGTAGGACGAACTGTAGAGAAGAAAGGCGGGCCTCATTCTTGTTAAAATTAATGACACCAGGGATAGCATAGTAAACGGGAAACTGCCGTACAAACAATGTTTTGGCACAGTACGGCAGGATCAACACTACTGGCGATAAGCCAAAGAAGCAATCATCAACGTTTCAAGTCAGAGAAGAATAAATTCCTTTACGTGATGAATTTTCGTATGACCAGTTGTTCGGCATTCACGACTCCCTCTCTTCTACATTTGTCCATTCGCTATTATGCCAGCGGCCTATTCTACGTAAAGTGGCGACCAAGAAGGTATTGCTGTAACCCCTTAACCATCACGACTGGTAGAGGAGCATATACGTGCTTAAGCATGATGAAGTGTCCGTCCGTGCCCTAAGAATGTTCGACGCGTATACACCAGTACCAAAGTAGCACGGACACAAACAAGACGAGCGTTACACGCATAAAATATACTCTTTAGCCGATGAAGAATTTCATCGACAGGCCAAAAAATGGCGAAAACCGTCTAGAGCACCGACAAAAACGTTCTGATCACATTCCTTCCATCAGTAATCCGTAAGACTAGAAACTTAGTGGAAAGCAAGTGTCGGAGATAACCAAGCGAACCAACACGCAATATTCCATTAGTCGGTGTACCTAGAAATGGTGCTTCTATGGAGGTACTTTAAAGAATGACACCGGCGTGCATCAAGGACCAGACTCTGATAAGTCAAACGCAAAAGGACTGAGTGATGTTGTGGGATGCTGCTGGTACTAGGTTACCAGGAAGCATTTTCTTTTCGGATCGGAGAAACGGGTTACTTCGAGAAAATGATATCGGTGGAAAGAAGAATCCGAATATCTAATCGGCAAGGACATTTAATCTTGCAAAATAAGTCTGATCAGTCAACAAACTAATTCGACCATCAATTTTCATTTGTGGATGCAAATAACTTATGTGCGTAGTTATCACCAAAAGATATATTCTTTTCGCGATTGTCTGTCGACAAGAAATCCGAGCACTAACAGGCCAGTTCGCCAAGATGTCAAGTCGCTGCTGAGCAAAGCAGAAGAATCTTCCGATGTAAAGATTCTGCATGTCTGAAAAGTACAAACTGAGGATATTACCGAACGCGCCAAGAATAGGCCCTAGCTTTCCTGGTAATTTACCTGGCTATATACCACACTGTGAGGCAGCTACGCGAATAATCAAGACTAACGCAGAATTTCTTATTTCTGTGTGAAGTTGTATGGTATGGAGAGGCGAAAACAACAGTACCGGTTCATCATGAACGACTTCAGCATGATCATGCGTTCCAATGTTGCACACATGGTAAGCAAACATGAGCTTGGAAGAAAATTTTGCCAGGTTAATCTTGATATGACAGCAAACAATTTTTTCGGGACAACTCACCGACCGTCTTTCTTCTCTATTGGGCAACACTCCATCCGCGGACTTCCTGGAAATTCGTGGATGCCGAGTCTTGGGGAACCCTTTCCCAAGAGCTTTCTGAAATGAGGAAATTTGTAAAACACGCACTTATTCAGACACTAGTAGTTGTACACTGACAAATGACGGGAACACATCGTTTTAGGCGAACAAGCGACATACAGGCAGCTTGCTTCACGCAGAAACCTATTGACCACATACGTAAACCTAATCTCAGCCTAACAAGTGGAAAACTGTAGTCAAACTATCTGAACAGGACAGTATTGCCACATACTTGGGAGACAGTTAATGACACTGACTGGCTCGAAGTTGCCTCAGGTCTTGCGTCTCGGCAGTCTAAGCAGTCACTTGAGACCAATACCCAAAAGTAGGCGCCACAGATATGTTGCCAGAAGGAGCGATACCGTGACGCCTATCGAGTATGGTCGTTCAGTGTTTGACATAATACTTAAGCAGTGGAAAGTCGCATTTTGCAAGGTCGAATAGCGAAGTAGTGTTTATGATGTCTTTTGATTTTCCGCTAGATCATCCAAAGAATACATGGCCTGAAACACGTGGGCGAAGGATAGAGGCTATGTACGCGGAAAAGTTAGGCACACTGCTGGTCATTCATCTATGGTTGATTACAATTGGTTGACTCTCATGCAAGAGGGCGCGGGTTCAAACCACGTTAGATATCCACCGGATTTGATTCTTCAGAATCAACCCCATTTCTGCAACGCTTATACATCATACTGTGTGGTGACGACAAAATAACATCACACACGAGCACGAGGACAAGCTGAGTGT